TATTACATAACATTATTTTATATCTATATAACACGGTATTTATATGTTCTGTCGTTATAAACAAGAAATCTACAGTCCAAACTACACAAGGGTCGCTCAAATATTGTTATAGTCGGCTTAAAATAACAAGCACCCACCAAAATATTAAATGTTTACAAAATATTAACCTTACAGCTAATTCTAACATAACTATTCAAACAGATGAGAATTAGTTCGATACATTTTATAACGAAATGAGTCATTAGAAGTTTTTGAACGTCGTAATGGCTACAGACTGGGATTTTAAAACGTACTGATATAAAAATGTATTAAACATAAAAATATTCCTCGGGTATACAGAGCTGTATAATTTTTTATGCTTTTATTATATGCTATTATAAAAATTTGTTTTCTTTTTTCATTCTATAATGCTTTATTGTATGTGGCTTGAAGCTTTGTTTACAATCAAATGTAATATCTTTATCATATACACATTTCATTCTATTTGTTATTCTGATATGTATGTATGTAAAATTTTTGTGTGAAATAATATCACGCCGTTAAAATATTCTGCTTTTAAATTAAAAACAATATTTTGTCATCATGACATTCCGATTGCATTTCCGTGTTGCCATATAAAAAATAACACGTGTTTGTTGTAATCTAAAAAAAATACCATTAAAGCTGACAACCCCAAAAAAAAAATTGGTTGAGATAAAATGCCGAAAGTATAACAATTTTAGAACTATAATCTATATAATATTGTAATACATTTTCCGTTAATGTTGTTATAAAGTTTTATTAGGTTTTAACAAAGATGGCGTTAACGGAAGTAGTAACATTATCTATGTAGACCTCGTGTTGTAAAAGCGACATACAAAGTCAAACGATTTATTGTTCCGACATGTTGCCATATGATAAATAAAATGTTCCCTTGATATATAAATAGTTTAAACCAACTTTCTAATGTGCTTTTATAGAATAATAGTTTGAAAATATTCCATTAGTATTTCTTTGTTTTGATATTAAGAATATATGAAAACTATGTACGTAAGACCTCCCATGATAGTCGTAATGACCTTTGTCATTGGAAAGACGGCTCTAAGGTTAAATTGTTAAGTCATAATTCAGTTTGATCGTAGGCGGGGACGTGGATTCGAGTCCGGAGTCGGCGTCTTGCCAGATGTTACTAACCTTGCCCAATATGTTAATACCTGAGACGGGTTCATAAGAAACATTTTAAAACGACTTTTACGACGACTTTGGGTTTCGTTTACATTATACGTTAACTATACGACGTGTTATGATTTATTTAGTATGTTAATACTTATAATTTTTAATATTAAGTATATACTTTTTGCTTTTTGTTTCGTTCCACGATGGGTAAATCGTTACCCATTATCCATTCCATTCCCAGTCTTCGGTCAAACCGCATCCGATGTATAACATGCACTTATTCAATTAGTCAGTGGGGTGACCGTAAATATTTTTTAGTTTTAGTTTTTACAAACCGGCGCCGTTGTGGCGAGACCCATCTAATTTATAATTATTGAACCATTTGTGTTGGATAAATGCAATGAATGAATGAAATATACATATAATCATATAAATTTCGAACAAAGATTTAAATGTATTTCATATTATATGTATATAATAAAACAATTTAATATATAAGGAAGTAAATAACGTTCCATTGGCTCCCTTTAACTATATCACCCGCATTATTTTATGTTATTTTTATATATATATATGTAGTTATATATAATTACTATCTCTTTGTTCATACAGCATATCGTTGTCAAGCTATGCCTCGTTTGAATCCGTTTACTCGACTGACTCAGCGTGAATCATTCCTTCTTTGTCTCGCTGTTGATGTTTATTTATTAAGGATTTTATAAAAATGTTATTCTTTGTCTCGTATATATATTTAATAACTGAAATACTTGTATATATATATATTTATTTAGACTTCAATATTTTTCATTCAAGATAGTTTTATAGAGCGTTCAAACGAGTCTTGAAATATATTTATCGTATAAAGCAACAAGTAACCTTACAATATGTTAATAATTATTTTCTTTTACAACTCGATTATGAACAATGTAAATTTGTCTTGTCTTTTAATGTATGAAATTTAAGTCAAGGTGTACTGTATATATCGTACGTAAAGGTTCTTTATGTATAACTAGCTTTCCACCAGCTTCGCCCGCGTGGAGTTCGGTTATATCGCGTTTCCAAGAGAACCATTCAAAAGTCTGGGATAAAAACTATCCTATGTTCTTTCTCAAGGTCAACTCTATATCTGTACCAAATTTCATTAAAATCAGTTCAGTGGTTTAAGCGTGAAAGTGTAACAGACAGACAGACAGAGTTACTTTCGCACTTATAATATTAGTGGGGATATATGTACTGATTTTAAGCTAATAGTGATACAAGTTATAAAATTTTGTTTTGTTTTTAATACTTTTGCCAGTGTTTATCTAAGGAATGATGCCAATACGTTTTTTTTTGGCAAGACATTATATGGTAATGTCTTAATATAAACATTTTATTTCTGTTATACGAAACTGCGCTTCAGTTTTGACGCTTAAATAAATTTTGAAAAACATCGAATCGACTGAAAACAATAAAATATAAAGAACATTATATTTTGTTATATATAAGGTTTAAAATAGATTGTACATAGTTTGGCAGTTAGTTTCACAATTATTTAGAAGGTCGTATTTATTCGTTTTAATTAATTATTCATATAATTTTTGTAATAGTATTGTCCGTAAGTTATTGATGTATAGTATATATTTTTGCAACGCCAGTTAAGTAGGCTGAACGAGCTATTTCTCAACTATGTGAGCATTGCAATCACAACCTTGGTGATTAAACTTCCTCAATAATGCAATCCTTGTTGCTACTAGCGATTTATCTGACTTTTCTTATCCAGAAATACAAATATTTGTATTGATATTGTGTAAATATTTTTCTTAATAAAAATATTCATTTTTTTTTTAAATCAGTGGTGGTTAAAAGGCTCGCCTCTCTTGCATGAGGACGCGGGTTCGATCCTGGCCCGGGCAAGTACCAATGTGATTTTTTCGAGTCATATGTTCTTTCTAAGAGTATTTAGACATCACTGATTAATGCATTCCCAAAGAGGGTTGGTGTCAGGCAGGCGGCCGGTCGTAAAAACAATTAGCCAAAACCATTCACAACATGTAAGGCAGACCCTGGCTATGGGTGGGAAATTGCCAGATGGAAGTGAAAGAAGAATATACTTCAATTTCTTTGACTAATTCTTGATTATTCCATGTATTTTCTCATTTATACACAAACATACAAACACTTTCGTATATATATATATAGTATAATGTTACGTTCATCATTCTCGCCCGTATTTGCGATGCAACTAGTTTCTTTGAACAATTTCGTTCCTCCATATAAACTTGTGTATCTGATTCGTGTTTTGTTATTCTAACAATCTGAAACTATATATTAAAGTCAAAAACAGGATGCTAGTACTCGCCAATTGTTATTTATGATAATTTCCTTCTGTTAAAGTTACACATATATATAGACTTCAAAGAAACTTATTGTATGTTTAATTAATATTTCAAACCGAATAAATATATATAGCTATAATTATTGTAAAGTTCGTAAGTATGTATGTGAGTATCAACGGCTTGATGTAATAATATGAAATAATTCCGAACAATACTTAATTTTTTGTGGCATTGTTTTAAATGAATCAGATAGCATAGCTTCCTGCGGTTCGACTATTGTTTGAGTGTCTATAATTTCTCGACCATAACCCGAATCTGTTTCTTTCTTGTGAGTTCTCATTGTGGTGGGTGCGAGAGGGACAGCTGTCGTCAATCGTCAGGTAACTCGCGCGCAGAGTTGTTGACCGACAGCGAAGGCCGTCCGATTGGACACAAATGTCATGGTCAAGATGGAAAAACGTCACAAATCAAAAAATTATTTAATCTATATAAATATAGTTTCTTTTTAATCTGTGCTCTCACACTGACAGTCATTTTTTTAATCTATGTTCCAATTTAACTGAATTCTTGACAGTTCGTATATAATGACAGCTGTCAAAAATTATTAGTATTTTTCGAAATGAATCCAATTATTCCTATAATTATACAGGTAATAACGCTTGCATTACTTTTTGTGACTGTATGACTTCGGCCTTGCGAAAGAGAATGGCAATGACATTCGCCCCAATTCTACCGGAAGAACGAGTCTTTACCAACGTACTCATGGGGTTAATATAACAATAAATCAAAATTGTTTATTTAAACCCTAGAAAAATCTATTGTATTATAGGTTAGTGTGGCCGTCATTTTTACAATTCCTTTTATTCGGGGTATTGTGATATTTGAAATCGTAAACTCAGTATAATAACTGAAGATCGTCTCTGTTTATGACTGTCAAAATCGTATTTCTAATAATAAAATGTCTCAATTTAGGATGGCCAATGTTTTATCACTCGTATAAAATGGTATTAACTTATATATTTTGTTTATTATTCGGTCTCCGGATGGGTCTTTGATAATTTTCGGTCCGTTTCTTAGAAACGTGAGTAATATCTACACTATACGTGCTTGTCATGATGTTTTTTTGTCCGTCACTGCATTGTGGCTTATGCGGGTTTGGGCTTTGTTAATAAAATTTTTGGAAACCAACATCGATCATCGTTAAAAAAATGAATAAATATATCTTCCATTTAAGAAAATAATATTTAATATATTATTCATAGTCAAATATAAAATTTAACTTCAATTCTATTGACGAGGAAGTAAGGTGTGACCAGAAACTTACTCATCACTTGACAAACATACCTAAATAATATTTACTCATAATTTTCCGTAAAATCACTGCGAGTTCAACGACCTCGGTACAATGTAAATGAAAACTTACTATTTATTTTCAGTGTGAATTATACGCGGATGATTTGTATTCATAACATTTTACACCTTATCACCATACAATAGGATTTTATTTCCTGATATACGTTATTAGTTCTACTGTATCATCTCGCATCGTTTGAGGTTTGTGGATGTTGGAGTGAGAGGTGCTGTCTTCCGTCCCTGTCGCACGTTACCTGTCTTCCTCTTATTACCTGTGGGATGCGTCCCTTTGATGACCTGAGTCTTGCTCTTGCTCCAGAAGGTTCTAGAAGGTTCCAGATGTACGTAAGTTTCGTTTCTGTATAATACATTACACTCTGGTAATTCTCGTAATGAGTCATTGAAAAAAAAAACTGTTATTACGAAGTGTTTTTGTAACAAATATCTTTGTTTCCTTTGTTCGATAAAATTAGCAGCATTCATGAGATTGGGACTTTTATATTTTTAACCATGTTTAAATATTATTACCTTGTATGTATATATAATAAATTGGTGGTTTTACAACGTTAAGGATACTTAAAGATAATTCACAAATCTTTATAAACAATATGTTTTACTAAATACTGATTATTTACTAAAACAGCTCGTTTCAATTGAAATAACTTTTCTATTTTGATGTATATACAATTATTTTCGTTCCTATGGAATATTTATTAATTTAATTAAGTTAATATTAAAATTTATAATATTACAAAAAAATTAATACATTTTTTGTCGAATGTTTTCTATAATTATATTTTATTCAATACAAAATTACTTTGTGACATATGTATGTATGTACCTATATATACATATAATAATTTTTCATATAACTTGCCAAGTTTTTCATACAACGTAATGTATGAGATTAATTCATTACGTATAGAATATATAATGACATTTTAATTAATGAACGATATAAAAAACAAAAAACTTACTCCAGCGTTAAATACACTTTAGTTTCAACTCAAACAGCGTTAATTAAAATCTTGATTTAGTTCTCGTGGAAATTTGTGTAACTATATTATAGGAACAATTTATACATATATACATATTTTGTGTGTGTGTAAGTGCGTGTGTGTGTCTGTGTGTGTGTGTGTGTAGCCCGCATACTCACCGTAATAGTGTAGAAGATCCCGCATAGTTTTTTTGTCTTTATCCCTACACTAATAAGCTATTGTTCTATATTTGTTCTCAAATAACCTCCTGACAATGGCCACACGATACTTCAACACTACAATCGACGGTTCCGTTGAAATCTAACGATAATGTCGTGTGACGTCACACGACAATATTCCTACGTGCGAATACATACATAGATTTATAACAAACAAAAAAACAGAAATCCTAAATCCGATTGTTGATAAAAGTGATTTCTGTTCATAAATTGGATTGTCCGCAGCGAAGTATTCGTTGATGTGATCAGGGACGTTTAAAATATAAACATTGGCAACCCTCGGTTAGAACTTAGAGGAAACAGACATTACGTTTTAGTAATTCAAAGGTATTGTATGGAAACCCAAGTTTTATTGCGATTTCCTTTACGAATATTTCATGTATGAACATTTAACTTTTACATATATCCTAATATAATTAATAAAAGCAATTCCCTTATAAATCAAAATTTATTTTACGTATATATATTTAATAAGAACTGTCTATTAAGGACCAAAATATAAATTATACATGAACAGGCGCGTCTCAAAAATCCCATTAACCTGACGGGGATTACCATACATAACTGAATTTGAATTTGAACCAATTTAAATTCAAGGGTTGATTTAAATCACAATGCCCTAAGACGTGATGTAGAGTGCGTATGACGTTGGGTGCTTTAGACCCGTCTCTTTTAGACCCGAGAGGGTTAAATGTAGGTCTCTTGAATAAAGAAATGGATTGATGTTGAGTTTTTAAAATGCAAATTAACAGCGACGTCTCCGGGTTAACTCTGACCGTTAGTACAGTTCGAGGCATCTTAAATGACAGAAAAAACTAAAAAGATATATAAGTTAGACGTACCGAGCGTCGGCATTGTTTAATGACTGGCGATTTTTATGTTTAAACTAATTGACTTTATAACTCGATGGAGGAACGATTTTCTTGTTAGCAAAGTTAAAAAAATATCAATGTATTAAAAATAAAATAGAATAGATATAGTGAAAAATTTATGAAGATAGCTAGATTTGAATCTTAAGCTCTGTAGCTTAGTAAATAGAGAAATTCGAATGCAATATTCCTAGAGATGTAGGTTCAAATCCTGCTCGTCTTAATGAATTTTTTGGTTCTATAGTTTATATTTTTCGGATATACTACGCGTGCTTTATTATTATAAAAAACTACATATTCCCGTCGTTTCGGTTACTTTTCCCAAACCGTGATCACGGGCAGACGAGAATGTTTGTCAGTTAGTCTTGTTATTCATCTACCGCCATCGATTTCTATCGAAAAATATTAGTTTCATTTAAAGTTATAATTTGCAAAAGTCTTAGAATTCATTCTATATTTTCTATTTCAATTATAACTCAACATTTCTTTTTACTTAATACATTATAACTGAAGTTTTGTATTTAATAAATAGAAAGGCTTACTTAAATGTATGTTTATAAGATTTATGTGCTAACTTTGTCAAAACATTACGGAACAATGGGCTGAGTCGTGGCAGTCGCGCAGGTGTCAGCGACTCTGAACGAGTTATTTGTTATAATTTGTTATTACTACAATCCACATAACATTTATATACAACACGTTACATGAACTGTTTCATACAAATGCTTTTAAAATAATAATAATTATAAGTATTTTAAGTTATGTTGTGTAGTTGTTAGTTTAGTCTGTAAGGGCGATGTTATATAAAAAGAACTCGCTCCCGAAATATTTAAATAACGTCTGGCCCGAACAATAGTGTGTGTTCTTTGTTATGTTAAAATTAAGGCCCGATCCGTCAAAGGCATCGATAAGTGTCGCCATTGTTTTCCCATCGCTGGTACAGCTTGCGTTTCTATGTTAAATATGTTGCTATGTGAATCAAATATATACAGGGTGACTGGTGAATTACTATCGATATTTGAGGACGTGATATTTGACGATCATATATGACAAAATAAAAATTAATATAACATAAATATTAATAAACTTCTGAGTAAAGTTAACCAAAAGTTATGTAATTAATTACGCATCGTATGAACACCCTACAGATTAGGTATACACACACACTCACACAGACGCGGCGGCGGCGTAGTGTTGTATCAGCACGCCGCCGCACGCGTCCACACTAGGAACACTTGGAACGTGTACACACTTTATTTATTTATACGGAAATTTGGTCAAAAATTAAGTGCCTATTTTTTTTACATAATTCGAATGAGAATCATGTACCGAGTATGCTCCTTAGATATTGATAGTAATTCACCAGTCACCCTGTATATATATATGAAATTAAAACATATATATGTATTATATTTAATACGATATGATATCAGTGATATATTCCTTCCTGTGATGACAGTTATTGAAAGGTCAAATTATCGATCTTTTTTACAACTTATTTTGTTGTTTTTGATATATTTATTTTCGATAATCGTCTTCCCTCGTCTTAGAATTCGGTTAAGGTGATATGTGAGAACAGAATTACTAAATTACCAGCTACCTTCTTTTGAGTTAATTGTCGAAATTTTTCCGGTTAAGTACATTATTTAGACACGAAGTACTATATCAATATAAATTTAAAATCTTAATCGTCACTATTTCTATTCATACAATATAAAGACAAAATCTCATCATGAGATCTAAGATTTTCGCGAGTATTCATTTAAATGAAACTAATATTTTCGGTTTTACTGCGAGATTTTTATGTTCGATTATTATGAACTACATACTCCCGATGTTTCGGTTTCTTTACAGCAAGCGTGATTACGGTTCAAAAATAAAAATCGCGTAGTAAATCCGAAAATATTAGTTTCATTTAAATGAATCTCATCATATAATTTAACTCATAGTTTTATTATAAATCCTAATTGTCTCCGTATATCTCAATGTTTATTACATCAATCACAGCTAACGTTTCTTAGTACCCCAAGTAGACCCAACCTTACCTTCTACCAGTACTGAAATTCAGGACCGCATTTTAATCATTAATTAATCGCTAAAAGCTTCATGAGACACGGGAATTTAGATATAATGAAACACGATTTTCAAGACACCTTCGTATTTCGTTTGAAAAAAAATTTTCGTCAATCATTATGAAATCGATTTAAATTATACAAAACATGTAGTATAGATAAATTGGCAAACCCTGGCTAAAGCTGGGAAATTGCCAGGAAGAAGAAGTAGTATAGAAAAAAAAACCTAGACTTATAATTTCACAATTATAAGTTTGAAATCACCAACCCGGTTTGAGCAATCGTGGTGATTAATGCTCAAACCTTCTCCATGTGAGAAAGAGGCCTTTGCTCAGCAGTGGGCTCTGTAGGCTGAAAAAAATGAAGTATATTAGTGTCAGTTTTACTTCAAGTCAATAATTCGTAACATTTTTTGGTCAAACCACACCAATTAAAAAGTACTATATGGTACAAGTTGTAATAGTATATTTACGAAAACCTTTTCTTTGACGAACTAAACTTGAATTTCGCTGTAAAATACTATCGAAGTCAAATGAGATAAACATAGTTTATTGATGACTAATCGATCATCATTCCATCCATCTGTGACCTGATCCAATCACAGTCATCAAATCTGAATTACAGCAGAATTAACATGGAATTGGCTCATCAGTTGCTTTTTGATATATTGAGTATTGAGCATTGAGCATTGAATTCACTCTCACCTGAGCTTTAATTTGTGATATTTTTATTCCACGTTCGCAATTAGTTCCGCAGAAGGAACGCCTGCGGTATAATTAATCATTTCTCTAATAATAATTAATACGCAGTTACGGAAGCCCTTCCACTGTTAAGGCTGACGTATTACAAAAATGTCTTAACAACTTATATATTCTTACACAAGAATCTTATAAATTGGATATATTATTTATGAAATCTATGTTATGTTAAGAAAATATTTATTTAATTGAGCGCAATCGTTAAAATGACTTAAAATTAAACGGAAAATAATTTAAAATTTAAATAAATCTGTATGATTTTTTTTTTTGATAAATGATACAGTTTAAATTTCTTTACAATATACCTAAATGAAGCAGAGTTCAGTGCTAGGTACATTTCATTATTTCTTAAAGAATATTTTTAAATACCTATAATTGAAGATCGGTATGTACCTAGCATGTCTTACTGATCATTATTAGTTATCAAAGAAGAATAGGTAATCAAATAAAAACAATATATAAAAACAAATTAATTCTAATTAATAAATTATATGACTTCTATCAATTCATTAAATTAAACGAAAAAACACAGTTTAAATATTTAAAGAAATAATTTTAATGTAATATTAAGTATCATATTAAAAATATAAAATTATCGTGAAAGTTTTTAATACGTCTCGATAACACTTCCATTATATTATCTCTCAGATTGCTATCAAAAACACAAATATTACATTTTCATTGTAATACAATCCTTTGATATTCTTTCATATCGATATTTTGATAATCATATGTACGTCTTAAACAAATATAACACGATTTAATTCAGTACTTATAAACTGTTCTTTGGGTGAATAGCTTACAAAATCACTAAGAAAATCCCTACTAATATTATAAATGCGAAAGTAACTCTGTCTGTCTGTCTGTTACGCTTTCACGCCTAAACCACTGAACTGATTTTAATGAAATTTGGTACAGAGATAGAGTAGACCTAGAGAAATAACATAGGATAGTTTTTATCCCAGACTTTTGAAAGGTTCTCTTGGAAACGCGATATAACCGAACTCCACGCGGGCGAAGCTGCGGGCGGAAAGCTAGTTTAATATAAAACATAAATTTACAAGTTATAACAAACGTTTTCTTACATTTTATTGTGGTGAAGATTCCGCAAGAAATTCCCTAGAGACTAAATTCAACAAATAATGCTATAAAATATAATAAATAAAATCCTTAAAACACCTATAACTTTTCCGAATATCTCTCTTACACAACCTAAGTAAAAGCTTTAAGCATGAAAATTAGATTAAATTTCATTACATTGTCTCATAAAGCGTTAATGTAAGTCATAATTTAGGCTAATTTACTAAAAATTTATTCAGCCAGCAGAGATTACACTTGACTAAGGCCCTAAACACACAAGACGACACTAAGCCAGTAAGCCCACGTTTCCGAGAACCAGTGGCACATCTCAGGTAATAAACTACGTTATCTGCGTTTGATAAAACACCATATTATTACAACAAGATCACTGCTTGTGATAGAATAGTTAGGAATAATCAATAGCTACTTTAGTTCTGAACAAGCCAATTTGAAATGTCCATTCGTCGTGTCTGTTACAGAATAATACTTAAATATTTATTTGACAAGCATTCAATAATCTTCTGGGATTCTATCTGAACTCTGAAACAAACCTTATATATCGAATATCAGTTCCAAAATAAAAAACAAAGACCTATATCATGTAACCCAATATATCTTGACCTTTATTCAGTACGGATTATTTATGTGTTTAGAGGTCAATTACTATTAGTACAAACACGGTTGCTATGCCGGATATTGCACATTCACAGTTCATTTCTATAGATAGTTATTTATTTCAAATACGTAATAAATATACCTATTGCTTGTACGTCCGCTTAAAGCATAACCCACAACGCCATCAATTAGTATGTAATAGTTGTATTTTCTATATAAGCAGCTATGATCGTGCCAAGGTTTCCTTCCGCGATGTGATTAACGTAGCTCGCTTCGTCATTCGGATTCGCTTGCCTTGTTACGTCATTAACTACGAGGGAAGTGGCCTTTGATCTAAGACGGAATATTATATTAGTCCTGCTTATACATATATAACCCTTTTTTATATATATTTATAAACACCAGACTGTAGGTACATATTATTTATATAAACATATACTGAAGGACAATTTAGTTGATAAAATCCAAGACTAAAATAATACGAATTTATTTCTATATTTCCTTTAATGGTACTGTCTAAAATTTAATTACGTTAATTTATTTTTTCGACTATATATATTGAGTAAATACGAGACAAATGAAGACCTTAATTGAAAGCAGATAATTCTACATATATACCTATATTTTCTTGTGTAATATATTTTTATCCAAACAGATATTAAACTCCAATTTCAATTACAATACAATTATACATCATTGTATAATAAACAAGTTCCCGTTTCATTTCTTAGTAACGTGACAGACGCTCAAACAGATCGTATTACGTTTACACGTTTATTATTACGTGTTTCATCTTATTTTAATTAAATATCATATGACATTTACGTACATTATAAAAGATATAAATGTTTATTGAATGAATCGAATGATATTTCAAAATATTAGTATTTCGTCAAAATTAATTTAGTACTTAGTTTAAAATCTTCACAAAATTTCATACAGTAAAATTTCTTATCAACTTACATAACTATCTCATATATAAGATTGTTTTAAAATTAGCGCTTGGATAGCATTCCTCAATTAAATATGTTAAGTCGAAAATCAATAGGTATATATTCTATTAATCATCAAAAAGCCACACGAAAATTGTATTTGTATTTTATTTTCGAGGAATTCATATTACATTAGAACTAACAATAATAAGGAAAATAGTTTTTCCAATGAATTAAATACCAACGTAAACAAATTAGCTGTTAATTTAGATTGTTACCTATTTTAATTTGTACAGCATTTTCTTTAAATTCCTAAATTAATTATTATTATCGAATAGAATTTTTGTAATAATAATTTTTCCGTCATCAAATATGTGTTTTGGGTCTTCGAATGCGGCTACCCACGCATCCGACAATGATTTTTTACCCTCGTCCCTACTTTGACGCCATTTTAAATTCCTATGTATCCATCCAAAATCCCACCCTAAACCTACGGGATACGACTGAAATTCGATCAAGGACGGGGAGCTGTTCATTAGTTTGAACCTTACTCCGTCGTAATAAAGCCTGTCCTGCCTCCTTTAGACCCATTGTTGATTTGATCCGTTCGGATGATGCTTCATATATTTTTTTATACATTTTTTAACCTGTCACAGTACGAACCTCCGGGTCTTTAATGAAACGGACGCATTCTTTGTTTATTATTTGGCGGCGCTGTCGTTGGGCATGCCGGGTCATTTACAACAACAAAAAAAAAAACAAATAGCTCTGTGGTGACTTTACAAGATTAGGGACACAGAGATTTACATGTTACGATCGATTTTGAGATTAACTGAAATGCATAACAGTGATTTCAATCGAATACAATACACCAATAATTATAAACTGATAACTAATAGGCAGCTCCCAAATAATAATGTAATTTTTTCTATATAAACTAGAATATTTTATCACTAAGTATAAGTTTGAAGACTTCTTGCGTGCTTATTTATAACCAAAAAATATACCCAGACAGAATTCGGATGCATTTTTATGGTGCTTATGCAGGAACACAAAAAACGAAGCCGCCTCAAGGGTCTTTGAAGTCTGAACATTCGATGATCTTTGTTACAAAATGACAAAAGCCGATACAAACTGTTCCGATGTTAAACATTCGAAGGGCAACGGTCTGTAACCACGAAAAATCACTTCACAGAAATCATTATACTAAATAACCTTATTCGTTCATCCGGTCATCATGCAAATAAGCTTGTTATTTCGTATTTACCTGTTGAGTATTCCTAATATATGTATTAGTATTCTTAGATTGTTTGTGTGCGGATATCAGACTTATTGTTCTGCTTTTGGCAATTTTTATTTAAATCATTGTTTCTTAACAACAGTCCCTAGTGACCTCAAGCAATAAATTAACGTACATAGTTAAAAAGTTATTTGTTTCTATATCTTTAGATATGAAAGTAAGTCGTGTTAGTTACACTATTTATAACTCAAGAACGGGTTTGACTGTAAATTGGTGGAGAGATAGCTTGGAGCAAGATAAAGGATACTTTTCATGGGATTGAAAAAAAAATAAGATGACCAAATCCAAAATCTTTTTATCTACTATTTTTAGGGATAAATAGAGTTCGCCCGGTTAGTTATACATGTCTAATTCTGAAACTAAAGTAGACGAAGTCGCGGGCAAAGACAAGTAAGTTTCTTTGTAAAATCCATACCCGATATCCGTTACTTAAAAACAGGTTAACAATTTAATCATCCATTTATTCTAGTTCCAAATTTAGGGCTGTAATCAAGCATTACAAAGTAATTGATACGTCAATTATACAGTATTACTTAAAACACTTTGATCCCTTGTTGAATTAGAGGGATTTTAAAGAAAAATACCGCCTCATTTTCTTGATAAATCACCGAATGACACCATCACCTTAATTTATATCTTGAACCTGGCTGGAGTGTTTATTTCTTTTTATAAAACTCAACGTCTTAATCGATAGTTATTAAGGATTGAAAGGAATTAATCTTACTTAAAGGTTTATTCGTTATATTATCTGGTTTTATTAATAACTCCTCCAGTTTTTAACCGACTTTATAAATGAGGGTATGTGTTCTTTATTATAAAAACTACTAGTCTATATGATTTCAAAAGCATACTAAGAAATTGTTTATAAAAAGTTGTAAAAAATAATTCTCTGAGATAATTAGATCCTTCGCCAAAAAATTCTACTTCTAAGGCAGTTTCCTTAAAATAACTATTATTTTTTTATAACTTAAAAGGGCGAGAATCTGAGTACAATTATATAATTTGATGTATTGCCTCTTGGACTATAGACATAGTTAAATGCTTGCGGCTTACAAGCTATATGGGATAATCCTAGCACTAACAATACACTATGTAACTTGGACTATCAAAATGTTATATACTATACAATATTTATTAGTAGTTTAAGGCTTACACCTAACAAATACTACATTATTGGAAAAATCACATACTGGTATGACACCAAAAATCTTTTGTTCTTAAAATTATATACATCTTCTTCAAATGTGTATACTTAAGTTGTAAACAAATAATTTCTTACATCCTTATTATTATAATGAATTGAGTATTCGTATGTGATATCTGATAAGCCATGACGTCAACAGCAGGTACCAAGCTATTCTCGCTCAAGGTCACTGACCAGGGGACCTTTTCTTGGGGTGACTGTAGCACCAGCGCACAAAGACCCCACTGTATATGTTGTACGTGTCCACACACATACCTCATAAACTGGTTCATAACACCAGTACAAGTTGAACCGCCGGAGCTGCTCGTTTCTTTGATAATTATAAAGCACTGTTCATTTATACGGGTCGTATTATCGTGGTTGCTTCGCATTTCTTTTTCATGCCATATGTTTTCTGATTATTTTGCTGTCCTTGGTCTCGACTGGTTATTTATAGCTTATGGCTCATTTCACTTTAAAACTTCTTTCTTAAACGCTATTTATGTATTAATAAATTCTGTGAACTTGGCGTTTACTATAAACTTAGTCTAGATTTATTTTGAAAGTAACTGAACTTATTTCCGATGTTAATTATTTTTATTGTTTCATTTATTACGAAAACCACGATGGCTTAAATAGTAAGAAAACTGGAAGTTCTGGATTCGAATCGTGGTTGGAGTGATTAATTTTTCATTTTGCATTTCCTCATAAAAAAATTAGTAGACATAATCGAATCCAAAATCTTTAATTTTAAAACAAAATATAGTTCGTAATTACCTGTAGTTAACACTGCACATGTTCTAAATATGGAACAGTAGTTTTGTCCTTCTAAACTAACTTCTACCTTACATATACAACTCAAGTAATACAAATACTCATGTATATAAAACTTACATATAATTCTACAATCTATCAGTTTTGGGTAACTTTGTTTATAACCTTTATTAATTTTCTTTGATGTATTTTTTCTATGAAGCTGTTACAAGCATATGGTATAGTATTTTTTTCTAAATCAGGATCCCTCTGGTGGCAAGCCAAGCTATATTTAGATTCGACTTATTTACAACTGGATTGTAACTACTGCTTTATGTGTTTCGAACAAAATATGTGTTTTTCTTTCAAAACCACTTGACTGTGGAAGAATAACCATTTATATGTAAAGATTCATGGAAAGTAGTTATACTGAGATATTTAAAAACCTAATACTGTTCAAGATTTATTTCTCCCTATACTGCCTGGGTTAGCCCAATAAGGATATATTAAAATTAGGGTCAATATCTAGGAATTACACGAAATTGCTCCCGGTTCCCAAGAAAATTGCTCTTTCTGAAAGCCAAAACATGCCATGATATGTATAATAATGTTTTAAACCCTTAAAAAGACAGGAATCGTAAGGAATTTTAGTTCGTATTTTGTGCTGAATTATATACTGTTTATTCAGTAACAAAAGTTGACAACATATTTGTTATCTATAAGCCTTCGTAATATAAATCCTCTCCAATTAATACCTGCCTCATTGGTTTCGAAATACAAGAAGTTTTTCTGTAATCGTCGTGGTTAACATGTTGCTTGGCGTTTTTGGAGCTCCGTTTTCATAGTCCTACTGGTTACATCAAAAAGTAACTTCTTTAAAATGTTCCAATAATAAGTGTTATATTTGTTTAAATATATATTGATAAAATAATTATTTATTCCCAAAGAGGGTGGATGTCAGGCAGGCGGCCGGTCGTAAAAACAATTAGCCAAAACTATTCACAACATGTAAGGCAGACCCTGGCTAAAGCTGGGAAATTGCCAGGTAGAAGAAGAAGATGTATCGATAAAATAATGTTTCGTTGTTTTAGCGTCAGAAATACTCATAAGTTATCTTTATTTTATTAAATTTAATTATAATAACAATTTGTATACCGGTTAGGGCCCAGCTTTATATAGGGACATAAAAACGTTGATCTAAAGGTAAGGGTAACTATTAAGTTACATTAAATCATCGCAAGGTTAAGATTTTAAATGAAATAAGATAAGGGTTGGAAGAAAGGACAGATTAGAGGTCATTGAACTTCTGGGCCCTTGAAGTCGGATAGGGCTTGAAATAGTTAATTGCTAGCTTTATTTTTAAGTTTTCATGTGCGTTACAGAACAATATTTTTTATAGGAATATATTCCTCTCAGTGTTTATTTTCACAGAAATAAATTCATCCAGAAATAACATATAGGTACAGTTTTTGGTAGATTTCCTAACATATTCCCAAAAAGTCTTTATTTTTATCTATCTATCTTTCTTTTGTTATTAAAGTACTAGCTGTTTCGCACAGCTTTTCACGCGGACCAGGATATTAAGGATAAAAATCGAAACAATACTTTTCATTACTCATGACACCCAGATACTTGTACAATTTTAAGGACGCCTCCGCTTTGCTTGTGTGAGAGAGTAACAAAGAAATATCCCTCAATTCTATATAAAATAAATATATTATAATTATGTTATATATAATTTTCCTAGCCGACATTACACGAACTTGACGACTAAGGTAACCTTGAGCCTCAACAACGCAGACATGCAAAAAACAGGCCGAGTTTCCTCGAAAACCGTCTACAGTCATATGTGAACCAAAATTCCTAAAGAAATCGAAATGCTTTAAATCATAGCTTTGTCTGAACATGGATGAAACCAGCTCTGTTATGTGAAATATAACCTTATGTTATTATAGATAAAGTTTAAATTCGATGATGGCATTGTGTGTGGGACTCGTCGAACAGGTTTCGAGGCGTTCCGTCCCGTTTATTTGGTCTTATTTTTGTTTTGCAAGGCACTGACCACCACAACAAAGGTGCTATGGACTTGTTTGTTTTTTTTAAGCCTGGAGGCATCCCGGCTTCGGTTCTAGTTGTTCGACCTACGTTGACTTATCTGACTAAAGAACTCTTTGCTGTGTTTTAGTTTATTATAAATAGTTTTAACGGGATTTTGATATGTTAATGTTTTGATCGTTGATCGCCTTGTGGATTGTTAAGGTTTGTTATTTATTTTAACGCAACATTTATATATGAGTTTAAAATAAAAAAAAGATTATATTTCTCATTGTAGAAAATTTCATTAAGTCCTTTGTTTATACATTTATCTTTTTGTTAAACATTGAATTATAAGTTCAAGTTAAAACACAATGACCCTACTGTTTGTTACTAAGAGAAAAATATTTTTATACGTAAATATTTATAGTAATTGTATAAAGAAATGCATTAATATTCACCAATCAGGTTTTATAACAACGCTTGCGGTCTTTGTCTAACCGATGTACTTGAAAATACAAATGGCTAGATGAAACTACGTAAATATATACAGATTTTCTTAATTTTTAAAAAAAGAAAATAATAATTTAAACCATTCAAACATTTTCTAACACCAAAAGATTAATATTAAATATAAATAAACATAAATAGGAATATATATATATTTTGTTATTTTTGTAACAGCTTAATTTTTAATTCAAAGTACATAATTAATATTTTTTAAATATATAAATCTTTGTTTTTATTACTACGGCTGTGTAACAGTGATTGAAAGTCTATGAGCCAGAGAACGCCGTATATTTGTCTATTAATGTATTTAACACTTGGCTATTTTAAATTAATGTTTATTTTACTACCTATAACATACCAAACTGATATTTTAAACATCACATTTATTGTGACACGCTAAATACGCCGCTATTGCAAGAGTATAGATGTTAAAATTCTATGAATGCATTTGTAATACTATATCAAACTTGCTTATTGTTTCAAAAATTTTCATTTAAGCCAATTTATTTTTATACCAAATTTAATTTAACTAAATATCCTTTATAATATTCCATACAAAGTTGCATTATATTCAGAAATTATTCAATTTATAGAGTGGAGCAGCTTGGAGAATCTCTGTAAGTTAATAAAATGCAAAAGTGTATAGAAAATGCAACATTGTAAGGCTTATGGCAGCTGAGACGAGTGGATGTTGGCTAAATGGCTTTTCCTTTAACTAAAAACTATTTTGACTGGAAATATTGTCTCGAAAAATTTAGATACACTTTAATATTAATAAATTAATGAATAAGGAAGGTTTTTATACGAGTTTATTTCTTTTCAGATATCAAAATCACGATCGCATGGTGAACTGACGCTAACTTATGATAAACGTTAGAACGAGGTAAACATTTATTATAATAATAATATTTTAAGTGTTTTTTTTTAATATTTTTACTAACCCTAGCAGGTTCTTTTCAAAGTTTGTAAGAGAGAGGAGCTTGGACGGTAGAGGTGAGCGTTTAACGCGCGTTAGATAGTGGCCCTTTAAACCTACAACTGGGTCGCAAGTCCCAGGCACTGTTGAAGCTCCTCTCAATACAACGATGGACCCGACACACGCACGGTGAATACATTGAATGCTGAGAGGTTTTTTCTCTTGGAGCGTTAATAGATTTTTATTCGTAATCTACTCACATAGTATTAACAAGGTTATTTATTATATGGGAAACGAGATACTTCTCGTGTGTAAGTGACGGTGCCAACTTGTAATAAGCATACTGAACATATATTGAACAGACTTTTCCCTTAATTTTATTAACGTATTTTCTGTAAATTATTATCTAACACATTGATTGGATATAAATTCGTATTTCAACTGTATAATAGTAATTGCTTACCAAAATTCATCTCAAATACAATATTTTTGTTTTTAAAAATAAATAATAAATGTACTTTTTTTTGACAAAAATTAATACTTGAAATTATATTCAAAAGGTTTGGAGTTTTGTTGGTAGTTTTAAGAACTTGTTCAACTGAATTAGGTATTATATTTAGTATTTGGAAGTCGGTCGAGTATCATGATATTTTCACTTCATTTTAATATATAACTATTGTAGTACAATCTGTATGCTTACTACAAATTTTTATCATCACTACATACTAAGAGTTTACCGTTTCTCAATCTTTATCTTACATTAATATTCTAAGATTTATTGACGCGAAACTGTTAACGCCTCGTATGTAGTGAGACCACTTAAAGTTTAGACTTATGGTAAGCGTAATTTTTTGGATAAATATTTAATAAATAATATCAGATCTAAATCATGGATTTCAAACTGTTAATAGGTATTTTATTTCATATTGCTGAAATTTATTTCATTTAATTTATTTCTATTTATAATTCATGAAATTATTCATGAATTTCTATTTGTCTGTGTAAACTTAGTGCAAATAATCCGTCCGTACTAATAAATTAAGTCTGGAGACATTTTAAATATTTACTTTGGCTATAACAGATGGTTTTCGTCAAATTTCGATGGGAGAAAAAATGTTCATCTTGTTTATTTTACCCTCGCTTTAAAGATCTCTATGGCTTAAAGAATCTGGTTCAACT